TAAAAAAAAAAAAAAAAAAAAAAAAAAAAATTCATATTTTAAAAGAATGAATAAATTGTCAAATAGTAAATTAGTTCTTTAAAGATAAACTTTAATATCAATTAGCATTATATAATTTATGTGTTTTAAGAATTAATTTTTTTCCCAATTCAGACATTAATATATTAATATGTTTTATTATGTTGTGAAGATGAAATGTAACAAAAATTTTTTTTACTGCTATTCTTGGTTATACAATATTTACAATATTTACAATATATATATATATATATATATATATATATATATATATATATATATATATATATATATATGTGTATATAGAAGTATATATGTGTATATATACTGTTTATATTTTACACCTTAAATTTATTTTGAAACAATGTAATAAATCAAATTTCTTTCTTATAAAATTTATAAATTAAATAGGCAATTGTAATATAAAATATTTAAATATTATAAAAAAAAAAAATATCAATCAAAAGTTTAAGTGAATTTTATATAATGAAATATAATAATGAAAATTAGACTTATAAATTATCCGTTTGTACAATTCAGAAATATGAAAACGCAAATTTAATGATTTAAAATGCATACAACATAAAAGACTATTTATATAATAAATAGTATATTGACTTAAATGATAATACTGGTAAAAAATACAAATGTACATGTTATAAAATGTGTGGTCAGGAATAGTAGTGAAATGTACTATGCTAGAATTAGATTTGCATAATTAAGAGTTGCTTATTTTACTTTCTAAGTTGACTTTTACCACTAGTGATTGTACATCAATTCTCTTTTTGCATTTCTTCTATTCATTGTTGACATCAATTTTCCCCTTCTGCTCTATGGCCTATATATTTAAGTCTGACTAGTTCGTGTCCACATGTATTTTAACATTGAAAAATCACATAATAATGGTTGGCTCTTATTTGGCTCCTTTCACCTTCTTATTGTCATTTACATTTTCATTCATTGCTCAAAGTCGATTCTCGAAGTATTTCTTTATGTTGTCTTCGATCTGAGAGCGGCAAATCATCGAAGCCTAAGAGCGAATGTTGTTGCGGTTGAAGAAGTTTCATAAAAGCATGTAATCTCGTTCCAAGTAGATTAATTCTATAGAAAGTTGAGGAATACTGAATTACTAACGCAGCGTAAAGTCAGTTTCCGTGGTTGAAGCAAGTTTCAAACTACCGTTCGTTAATTTATACACAATGAGCAGGGAGAGAAGAGAAAGCTTCTAAAAGCGAAAGGCGACTAGTAGGGAAGTGGTTGTGAAGGAATAAAGTTCAAACTAACCCTTATTTTAGTCGGACAGACGAACGATTTACTTTATGCAATTGAAATTACTTTCAAAATATACTTTATAATTATTTACCTTGAATTAGGAAATGCTCAATGGGAATGAAGTAATTTCATAATATAGGTGAATCTGGGAAAAATTCATTTAAAAGCTATGGCACTGTTAAAGTGTGTCTGAATATTGAGAATATATTTTACTATGGAAAATAAGTAGAGTTATATCCTATTTACCTTTTTTGTAGCACTATGACGAAAGGGAATGGCGGTATTAAAATCAGGTTTTATTATTTTTGGGATCGCTGTACAATTTACCGCAAATGAATAAAATTTGTACATAAATTATAATACACTGTACTAAGACCCTATCAAAACAATTGTTAATTCCTCGGATTTTTACATTTAATATGTTATAACTAATTATGGCTCCAGTTGACTATAGCATTATGGATAAAAAGCAACATCTTGAGAAAGTAAACGTAATAAAATAATTTGTCAGTTTGACAATGTAAGATAAGGCCTTTGATATTTCGTTATATTAACATTATTGGCAATATCACTATTATTATATGTATTATATTATTATATTAAAGGATTTTACTGTTAGTAGTATATAAAGCCATATGCATATGAACGTATATATATATATATATATATACACTAATTACATCGATAATGATTGCGGAGTCATTGATTGGTGGAGGGGAAAATTCAATCACTGTAGAGTAATTTTAATTGTCAGCGACTTGCAGATCGTGTAAATGCATAAAATTCAATAGTGCATTGGCGAGTATGAGTGTATGAGCGTGGGAAAATAATTGCTGTATATCGTTATTTTTATTCCTTAAAAAAGTATATAAGCGGTACATGGAGAATTTGCGTAGATCGAGACAATTACAGTAGTTTGATAGCAGGAGTATACGGAATTCAAAAGTGATAAAGTCGGAGCAGAGAATATCTTGTATTTATAATGAATATATGTTAGAATTATCGGCATGAGATATCTCTGGTTCCATTATATGCCATGTATTAGTAAACAAATTTCCCAATGTTGATAAAATCGCATAAATATATTTAGTTTAGCCGACGTCTGGCAGAGGGCTATGTATACATGAAAATAATTTCTTCTACAAAATGATTATTTAATATCATCAAATAAACGGTTAATGTAATAGTTTCAGTAAAATGTTGCGTTCGGCTTTGAATTTATTAAAACAAATTACTATCCAGACCGATACATTTGGAAATACAACATCTAGAAATGGAATTCTTTCAAGAATGTTACACTTAACCTCTACGCTTGATGCTCTTAAAATCAAAGGTGCAAGATCATTAAGAGCATTGAGAACTGCTGATCAAATAATAGTAGAAGGTGAAAATAGTGAATCTATTGTTAATAATTTAAAACCGTAAGTCTGTTACTAAATACTTTTTTACAGCAAAAAAAAAAAAGAAAAAAAAAAAATATATATATATATATATATATAAAATCATAAATTGTTTATTTTTTAGAAATGAGAGATTCCCAAATCAATATACTCCAAATCTTTTATTTAATGGAATTTTGTATAAAAATTTACATATATTTAATATAAAAGCATGTAAAAATAATACAATTATATCAATGACAGACTCTAAAGGTGAGTTTTTATTTATTGTAATGTCAACGTATGTGTAAGTATAATTAATTGAATTTAAATAACTTGAAATCAATTTTATTTAAATTTAATATATTTGTTTTAAAGATCTACATAATGAATATAAACGTATAACAAATATATAATCCATACAATTTTGAATAGTATAATATTGAGTAAAAAAATATATATGTATATAATAGCATATAAATATTTTTTACTCTTTGGCTTAATAACATAAATTCATAATTAATTTTGAATAAATAATTTTTGCTTTTAAAAATCTTGATTTTTCTATTTATGGCCAATTTTGCCTATTTATATTAAATTATATCATAATTCTACAATAAACAATATTTCTACATACAATATAATATATAGAGCATAGCTTTTAATATGAATAGTATTAGTTATAAAATTAAAATTTTCTACTAGGTAAGGTGCTTATATTGAAATCCTGCGGAACGGAAGGCTTTAAAAATGCAAAGAAAGGAACTAATATCGCTGCTCAAACAACTGCTATAGAAATAAGTCAGGTGTGTAATTTATAGTAAAGAAGAATAGATAATTATTAGGTAATTATTTTTAAAAGCGTTTATTAATAAAAAAATGTTAATTTCAGGAGGCGCTTCGGTTAGGTATTGAAACAGCAAAATTAAGAGTTCAAGGAATCGGACCTGGCAGATTGGTAAGGTGTATTAATACTAGATTATGAAATAATTTAAGACTTTAATAATTATTAGAAATTTGATTTACGTAGGCTGCGATAAAAGGCCTTCAACTAGGTGGCACAAAAATTATTTCAATTACGGACAATACTCATGTATCATGGAATCCACCTCGACCAAGAAAACGTAGACGTATTTAATTTTATGTTAGTGATATATTATAAGATAAATGTTAATTGTATATTGTCATCATTCAATAGTAAGTAGAATATAAATAATCAGAGGATTCATCACTAAATAATATATAATTTTTATAAGTCAATTAAAAAATAATTAAGATTAATTAAGAAATATTAAAATCTTTATAATTTAACAAATTTAAAGATAATGTTTCATACACTTGTGCAGAAAAAAAAAATGTACGCAATAAGCCATGAAGTAAAATAAATGGATCATAGTTTACACGCAATCTCGTTATTGTTATTGCATAGTGCAAGTAGGTATGCGTAAATACTATCAAGGTTTATGCAGCTCATGGGACCAAGTTAACAGCAAGGTTGCCCGTGCAATTAACTGTCATTGGGTTTGGCTATAAAGTAGCGGCAAAATTTATACGCTGCAGCTATAGTAGCAGTGTTAACGCATGCTACTGTAATAGCATTGGTCTTTGTCTTTCAACGAAGGAGTGATAGTGGGTGGAAGAGAGAGAGAGAGAGAGAGAGAGAGAGAGAGAGAGAGAGAGTAAGAGGAAGAGGAAGAGGAAGAGGAAGAGTGAGATCAGCATCCTCGTTAAACTGTTCCATATAGGTGAGATAGCACTGATCAATTAGTTGATAAAACGTGTCGAGATTTTGCGATATACGAACTATCGAACTTTATAGTAGAAGAATAGAAATATCGTATTTGTCCGGGAAAAATAGAACAATTTAGAGTAAGTACAGCAAAGTACTGCACTTTTGAGCTTAATTTCGGATTATTTAATTTAAGGAATTATTTAATATGATTCAGGATCATTAAATTTTCCTACTCTAATAACTAAAAATAATGATTTACATATAAAATCATTTAGAATTTTGAAATGACTTAATGAATATTTTTGCATTGTAAAGATTCATAAATATTTGAATATGTAGCAAGTACATCCTTTTAAATTACAATAATTCTTTTTTATAATTGCGATTGATTTTCTTTACCTTTAGAGTACTAAATACTTATTTACGACAATCGAGATATTTAATTTCTTAAAAATATCAAATCAATTAAGATATATCTTAATAATATTAATGAAAGACTAAATGTTCGCAATTTAGACGTTTCTAAATTTTGAAACGATCACACTTGAAAATGAAGATATCATTATTGTTAAAGGGGTTTTTCAACTTTAATAAAATTATATTAAGCCCTTAAAATATATTTCTATCTTTATTTACAATAAATTACACAAATGCATAATTTTGCATTTTGAAAAAAAAAACGAATACATCTAAAATAATGAAAATTATAAGCGTACAATTTTTAAAATTTACTCAATGACGTCGCTTTTCTTAAATCATTTTAAACATCGGTTGTCAAGTAGGTTTTCAAATTTCTTTCTACTTTTTCATTATGTTAATTATAGTTTTTCGATAAGCTTAGATTCACTTATACAATTATATAAATGTAATAGAGTATATGTAATATTATTCAATATATTGTTATAAATAGTGCATTGTACTTTTCCTATCTTTTATTACATGTACATAAAATAATTATTTTTTATCGTAGTATTAACTATATTGATAATATTTTTATGTCTGAATTTTAATAAAAGAAAAGAAAAGAGAGATATATTACAAAATAATCGAATTTTTTTGGTTTTTCTCATATCCGACATTTTGTCATTTGATAAAATACATTATTTGAAAATAAGCATGTGAAAATATATTTAAAAGCATACGATTAGTATTAGTAAATGAAAGCATTAATGTAAGATGTACAATATTGTTATTATTCATCACAGTCTATGCTTATATTTGTTAAATTATTTACTATTAATAACAACGCACCTAAACATTTGTACAAAGTAGTACGTTCATAATTGTAAATAGCTGCACTAGCTATACAATTATTCAATTTAAATATATATATGTGTTATAATAATGATTAAATATTTTTCAACATAATTTTGATCGATGCACTGTTCCATTACCAACTAGATTCATCAACTTATTGAATATTTTAAAATATACAAAGTTGTTTTAAATGTCATCGAGATAATAGATCGATTATACTGAAAACTACTTTTTGTTTCTCATTTATAAATAACGTAATTAAATTAATAATCTTTTTAATTTAACAAAATTAATTATATTCTAATCTGTTACGAAAAATTATGATATAATGAAAAACTTAATAAAATAAATTAAAAAAAGAACGGTAAATGGGAATGCATGAATTTGTACGTAACTAAAATTTAAATTCGCGTATTTTCGATAATCCAAGGAATGAATTCCGATACTCGCGTGTAAATTCCTGGCAGTCGTTTCCTCGCACAACCAATGCCCGAAGAGACAATTCCAATAACCATTGTATTCTTATTTTTGCTAGAAAACATTAGTGGACCACCACTATCAGCCTGTAACAAACAAACGTGTTGATAAGTGTTAATTCAATCATTAACAAATAAATACGAAATATTAAAAAATTATCAATTTAAATTAATCAATAGAGCTAAATTAATAATAATTTAACATGAGAATTAATAGAAAAATTAATTTACCCATGCAATGGAGTATATTTTATAATACAATTTTTTTTATTATGCATTTACATACATGAATAAGCATATTGTATTTATTATGTAATTACTATTACTAAATTCAAATCGATCATAAAAGCTTATTGAAGGATAAAATTTCGTCCTTCCACGTTAACATATATATTTTTCTAGATAACTTCGAAACCTTCGATATAATAGTATTAATAACATACCAAATTTCTATCCATCTATTGAATTCATAAACAATGTCCTCAATGTATGTTAATTAAAATTTTTTTTTATCACTTTTGAAATGCCCGTATGTATTAAGTACACATTAATCAATTGTTTATTTATAGACTTTACTTTTACTTTTCATTTTAAGAGTTTTCATGCCTAACTTATTATATATATATATATATATGCGTATCCATGAATGAATATATTTCAGTTTAATTTTAATATGAAATTATACATAGATGTACAAATATGACGATATTTCATTTTTTAAGTAAAAATGATTAAATAACTGACGATATATTACGTGACTTCTCGTGTAAATGAATAAGAGAATGTTTTTTAACTTATAAATTTGCTTCTGTTACCTTGCCTATCATTATCTCTTAATATAATCCGATTATTAATTTAATCTGTTTAAAAATATAACAGACGTAGTCAATCAGTATATCAATATAACAGAAGATAATTAACTTCATATTTAATAATATATAATTATGTATTATTGGATTTCTTTAATTATGCGAGTTATCTGTTGCGCTTTTAAAAGATGTTTGAAATATAATTTGAGAAATTATTAATCGAAATCGTTACACAACGGATTGCACAACTACTGACTTTTTAAAACTCAGTCAATTAGTCAAGTCTTTTGGATATTCAAACAATACGTCAATCTAATTTAGTAAATAGTAGTGCTATATAAATTAAATAAATTTATCTAAAGTAGAATATACAAATAATGCTCACATTGTTTATTAGAATTATTAAAGTTAGTAGTTAGAAAATTTTAACTTAAAGTGAAAAGAGGGAAATTATGAAGTTAACAATCGACAAAGGCAAATTTTAACTTATTACGTTGAAATTTTGTAGTTCTATGCATCTATGAAATAATTATAAAAAAAAGCATAAGTACAATTTGATAAATAACTACAAATAAAAGAGGAAATTCGATATATCGCATATTCGAAATAAATATTATTCTTATTTTTAATTTTCGACAAAGTATTAAAATCTCAGGATACTGTTACAAAAGTTACTAAATAAAATAATTAATTCGCTGATATTTACTTGTCTCACGCAGATATTGTAATAAAATTTTTTTTTAATGAGTAGCGATAGTAAAATAAGTAGCACGATATCCCAGAAAAGCACCTTCGAAATTTCACTCAAATGAAAATAATAATAATAATAATAATAATAATAATAATAATAATAATAATAATAATAATAATAATAATAATAATAATAATAATAATAATAATAGTAGTAATGAAGTCGAATAGATTTTAAATACATTAAATATATATTTAGAATATTTCATTTAAAATACATCATGAAATCTTTAAATAGAACTTTATATTATTCAAAAGTTTTTAACTTCTTAGACAAAATAGTAGTAGAAAATTATTAACAAACACAATACCTAAAATATATGTAGTCGGCATTGAATGTCAAATCATAATACTACGCTTTGTTAACAATTTAAGAAATATTCTTGGTAATTGAATTAATTATAATTTCAGAATATTGTCTAATAATTTTAAGATATTCAAGACAGGTTTGATATATTGTATGTAACAAGTAAAATAAGTGGGCAATATTTGTATAGGATTATATTATTAATTAAAATTAGATATATTCGTTCAAATTGCAATAAGAATTCAAAGAAGTGCGAAGATAGAGCAGAACAATTTTGTATAATATGAAAATTAATTGCATGTCGTTTATAATAAAATATTCTCGTTCAATTAATAATTAAATCATCATACATTACGCACTTAACTCACATGATAAAATAGTAATTTAAGAGAATGTAAGAATGCCATAAATGCCAGCAATCATTAAAATGGCTTAAGGATAATAGGACTCAAGATAGATTTTTAAGAGGCTGACGAGTAATTATTTTTTTATAAAGACTTCCTTGCCTCGGATATAAAACATAATATTGAATATTACCGCACAAGCATCATGGCCACCATTCTCATGACCAGCACACATTTGTCCGTATTTTACGCGAAATGACTTTCCTTGACTAGCGTACCATTGGCTGCATACTTCGTCTTCAATTATGTTAACCCCAACTTTTTGTAAAATGCTGGCTTTTTGATCTAAAAGTAAAATTACATACATTTGTATTGTTTGATGAAAAAAATTATCTAAAAGTACAAAAGGATTTTCTATATCACATCATGATATTTATATCAATGATAAGCCTTTCTTTTCTGTAATAGTTCATCTTTTTATAGGCCCTAATATAAAGAATATTGAAAGCTCTATGTAAAAGTAAGGTGACAATTTTATTAGTGTATATTCAAGATAAAACATTAATTAACATTTAATATTCAATTCAATGTAACATTGAACTCACAATATTGAACATTCGGTTTTTCATTAAAATTATTACATATTTGTTTATGCTGGTTAAAACAACATCGGCTTGTACAACGTAATTTTTGAATTTACAATATTTATTGTGCCAAAAATTAAATAAAATAAATAATTAGAATTTGTATGGAAATTAATTTTAAATTACTTAAGCGCTTGAATTTTCATGTACATAGTGTGATAATTATGAGTACCGAATTTACGCATTTCAGGCAAAGACTAAAAAGTACTGCGAAGAAATTTAAAAGTTAAAATAATAAATTAATAATATAATTAATTCATTAATTGATAAAAACTCGGAATGGGTAATGGTGTGAGTGCAGACTTTTGTATACGTTGCATTGAGATGTACGAATTCATCGATAATAATTGGTATTAAGAATTTAATTAAGTATTATTATCATTATCATCGTCCTCATTATCAATATTATTACATATTATTATTACATATTATTACATATTATATTATTATTATTATTATTATTATTATTATTATTATTATTATTACTAAAGTATAAGTTATAATAGGGTTGTAAGTAGAATGATAGAATTAATTACCTTAAAAAATCCCTTGTATTTAATGAAGAGAGTAAGGAGTATGTAATGGTATTAGACGAGTGGCGCGTTCATTTGGCAAAAAGGCGATATAAGTAGAGGTCACACTCACAGACGGACTTATCTTCGCCTAGCCAACCCCAGCCGGCCGCAATCGCGTTCTTGCCAGTGAAGAAGGTGTAGTCGGTGCTACCATGCTTCGGGGGTAGGCAGGCCGGCTTTACGCTCTCGGACCACTCGACCGGGGTGCTCAACTCGAGTAGGGCTATGTCGCTGGTCCACCTGCCGCATTCGAAATCCGGGTGTACGATTATGCTCTTGACCCTCTCGGTAATGGCGGCCGGCAACTCCGGACCTTTGAGATCGTACTCACTATTGGCTTATCCTGACATCTAAAATCATTACAAATTAATCAAAAAAGTTAGCAATTTAATCTCTACTTTTTAGTTTTTTTTTTTTTTTTTTATTCTCTTTTCCATTCTCCAATTGAGTTATCCACTAACGTCCACTAATAGTGCCACTTTTAAACGAAACTTCGTGCTTGTAATAGAACCAATAGAACAACAGAAAGATGATTATCAATAATTCGATATAAGTAAATTAAGGCAGTGGATCCATCAAAACGTAGTCTTCAATGCTATTTCATTGCTAAGATAACGTCACATCGATACTTCTCATTTGATTAACGTTAAATATTGTATTTGTTAATTATATAGTTTATACAAAGTAAGTTTTCAATTTATATTTATAAAATTGTATTACAAAGTAATACGTAGAAGAAGAAAAAAATCGAAATAACGAGGCTGGTCATAAATGATAATTATACCAGTACTCAATTATTAATTGACATTTTTATATTTTAATATTAAGATTATAGACTTATACCTCGTCATACTTCGAAATCAACGAGTAAATATCTCATATATATATATATATATATATATATATATATATATATATATGCGTACATATACATGCAACTAATGGTTTTGTATAACATGCTTTCAAAATATTATTTCAGAAAAACAATTTCACCTTCCACTTTCTTTAACTCCTTTAACAACGCATCAACTAGGAGAGAATAGGAGAAAGAGTAAGAAAAAAAAAATACTTAATTTAAATAGCCCCGAGCAAAAGCTTTCAAGTAACGAGATTTTTATATTAAAAAGATTTTAAGAGTTAAGAGGTAGGTATATGTAAAGAGTCAACTGGGAGGTTGAAAACGTGCGGGAATCGACAAAGCGGCCAAGAGGAAGAACTCGTTGAGTAATTAATGCGAAAGTTAAATTCTCGCCTACACTCCCTTCGTCCTCTCTAGTATCTCGACCACCTCTCACCCATTCATTTCCGTTTAACAGTGCATCCTGGCTTGGTCAAAAAAGAAGAAAAAAAAAAAAGAAGAAATGATGAAAAAAGTGACTGCATCTCCCTGTGCGGAGACAATTATTTCATCGAGGCTGCCCGAGTGAAAATCGGTGTGTCCGTGCGGAGTCTTAAATGAGTCTTTGAATGATGCTCTGCGGCTTCGATTAATTCGTCGACCCTCCCCAGCTGAATAATTAACAAAATTATACAATCCTACGTCTTTTCGCGCATTTACCTTATTCTTTAACTGTTAGAGGGGAGGAATACCGGTAGAGGGAAGATATCAAGCACAACCAATCTGAGAGAGATTTTGTACTTTTACAAAATTAAGCTATACTCTTGTTGGCGTAACCGAGCCTCGTATACACTTTTCACCTGCTGGAAATGAGGCTTTCTCAAGACAAGGAACTGAACTAGAGAGACGATAATATGTCCAGCCATGCAAATTTCTCAAATTTACTTGAAATTAAAATTGTTTAATGTTCGTAAATATTCCCTTCGCTCCTTCTCATTTCTCTCTCTCTCTCTCTCTCTTTTTCTTTTTGACCGTTTCAACCAAACCCTACAGCACTATTAGCCCCGTTTATAAGCTCCCCCAACCTACCTAATGGTCTCATGCGCTTTGCTATTCATTTACAATTCCACTATGTATTATCTAGTATAGGATCCAATGGAATAATGTTAATGTTGATCGGTCGCAGCTATTCTCATTAACTGCGTATTTTATATATTAAATGAAAATTAATTTCCAATTAAAATAAAGTTCGAATATTCGCTTGAAAATTATTTATTTATTTTATTTTAATTAAATGTTATTTTATTTCATTCTATTTTATTTTCTCAGTGCTTTAACGAATCTGCATTGTTGATTTTAAAAGAATTTATTGGAAATGGGGTAATTGATTATAATGATTATTATAAAAATTCCGTCGGTGAAAATTTTTAATGACTAAACATATTCTTCATACGCAAAGGTAATCGAGTTTACAAAATTTCAATATTCCTTGAATTTTCAATTCGATTTTCAACTAATTATTTAATTGTCAACTAACGCATGATTCGTTATTGCATTGATGGTAAAAATGCCGTAATAATCCAGCAAACGAGTGAAATTCTAGTCGTCAACACCCACTCTCCTCTTTATGAAAAATATTAATTTATCGGCAGATAGTTATAGATAATTATGTAAGACTAGAATGCCTTGCGTTAAGAAGCAAAAATAAATGATGAAAGACGACAATTAACGAGCTAATCGTAACCTTGAGAGCAGCTGCGGTCGCAATAAGCGAACGATGCAAGAAAATCTAGAGGAGAACTGTGTTATGCACAGTTCAGGTTTCTGTTGCACGTCATACAATATCCACTTTGCTCTCGCTTTCCTTCTACTAAATCTCGCTCTCACGAGGGCACATTTAATCATACGAAGCTAACGTACATCGCGAGGAGATTAATCATTGGGGCAAACATGGTGGTTAACGAGGAATTGCTCGCTCCGTAAGTCATTCGCGATACTTTTTCAAGACTACGCGAATACTTATTGTTACGTCCACGGTTCAACGATCCTACATTCATTTCTCTTCATTTTTGTTTTTCTTTCTCTTTTGTTTTTGTCTTGTTTTTGTTTAATTTTGTTTTATTTTTATTTTATAAGTATCAACTGACTTTGAAATACGTATGATTTAATTATACGGGCGATTAAGTGCTCCCATACCCTAATTAATATCTCCTCGTTATTGTATTATTTCAAAATACATTTAAATTAATCAACTTATTTGTGAAAATTTGTGAATAAGTAACGAAATGCCGAATAGTCGAGTGCAGGAATAACGATTTGCCAAACACGCGTCGGTATTTAAGCAAATAGTTACTTTTTTATCACGCGATGCTCTCTTCTGAAATTATAAAATTTCACGACCACCATAAAAGAACGATAATTATGTTTTTATGTTTCGCTGTAGAAGAAATTTTGTGGGGAAAGTTTAACAACAAAATGATAACTAGTTTAATAATGAATCCAAGGTATTTTGAGACTTAGTAAATCTATGCGACATTCAAGTGTCCAGCTATAAGGGTAACTCCGAATGGGGTATTAGAAATGGCTGGAATTCGGAGAAAATTAGAGAGATTACCAAAATTTCCAATTGACGAGAAATTTCACATGTCGCGGACGCGCTCGAGTTGTAACGCATATTGTCGGTATGTCAAGTTTAGATGATGATGGAGCGCGGATATACGCAACGATTCCAGTCCCAGAGTCGTATAAGCTTTTCATCGTTTCACCGGAACAATCATTGAGCACTACTAATAAATAAGTTGCAAGTAATGAAAGGCGTACGATTGCGCTGGAATAATTCCGTGCGTATTCTATTGAATTTATTAAAATTTCACGATCGGTATAATGTGCTTTCGCTATTATCAAGATAATTAATATACAGTTTTGCCGTAAGAAGTAATAATTTTTTTTTTATTCCTTCCTCTGTTTTATATATCCGCTTGATTGGCTGATAATTAAAAATGCCTGTTCGATAATGCTCTGAAGTATTATTTTTATTATATGAAAGAATCTGTTGAACAAATTAACAAATTAAAAAAAAAAAAAAAAAAAACCCTTTCTCTAATCGTCTAATCGTTTAAATTTATTGAATTAAACAATATGTATGGGTATTTTTGTATACTATTTTATGCATTATTGTGTGAGATAAATGTATTTTTCGTCTCTTTTATTTCCAATGGTTTTGAAGTATTTTAGTTAAATTGGTATTTGAGTTGGTGTTTGGTGATGTAAAGCCTTGTTCACTACTTATCCATATAATGTACAGTTCGTGTAAAATAATCGATCATACTCAATTTCTTGTTCGTTTTATATTATTTTTTCCAATGATTTGCTATCGCGTTTAAGTCTTTTAATTTAAAAAATTTTTTCCTATAACTGGAACTCTACCTTTTTGATATTAATTTTACTGCAATGGTTTATTCATAAAATTCACGTACCATTGCTAATTTTAAACAAGTTTTCAACTTTTCGATTTTATATTTTATAATAAATTCACCAAGAGCATATTTATTTTTTAAATAAAAAAAAGAATCTCGTAATTGATTTGACTTATTTTACATTTTATTAATAATCTAAGTATTGAAAACTATATATATATTACGCTAGAAATTATATTAACACTATGGAAAAACAGTTTCCCAATAGACTATAACCATTATCAAGATGGAAAATATTCTCATTGTCGTTATATTTTTAAAGAGTTTAATAATAATAATAGTAATAATAATAATAATAATAACAACAACAACAACAACAATAATAATACTACTAGTACTACTACTACTAATAATAATAATAATAATAATAATAATAATAATAATTAACCCAGTCTCTCTCTCTCTCTCTCTCTCTCTCTCTATCTATCTCTATCTCTTTCTTTCTCAAATCTATAACTCTCTCGTTTATATTTGAATAGTTTTGGTTAAAAGATATTTTTTTCAAATTTTCCAAAAATAATTATTATTGAATATCTTATACGTACAAATGATAATGGACATACATAGAAAAATTATATGCTTAATATTTTGAATGCCTAAGATATGAATTGATGCATACATATATAATATATATAACGAAAATATAAATTTAGAAAGGTCGATAATTGCATTTGTTAAAATAAATTATTGCTTATAAATATTACCGGTGCTTTGTTGTTCGTCCGACAGTAATTGAATTGAAATAATTATTTATTGAATTATGTCCGAAAGTAAGTCCTACTCTCGGTTTCCATGTGTGTACTTGTTAAGAATGTTGTGATGTCATCATTTGTCGTGCGTTAATCAATAATAAAATTTCACGGAAATTTCTTCCACAAGAGCATATTCTTTTTAAAATAATAAATTCATTCATACAATACACGCGTTGTTGTTTTAAATTTAATAAAATTCGAAGTATATTTACCTTTATTAGAATTAAATTTATTTATGATTAAATATTAAAATACTGATTAATAACTGAGT